GGGACCCCTTCTCAGACTCACATCCTGCTCTCACCGGGCCCGGGCCCTCCCCGCTCATCCAGGACGGCCTCCCTCAAGGACCTGGCCTGCACCCTCCTCAGGGCCCACGGTCTCTAAGACTCGGACATTAAGAGTACAGTTGCCCCACTCCAGGACCCTCGGACCCTGTCCTCCCGGATTCCCTAGGCCCGATGTCCCCCCACCCCCCCTTGCCTCCCGAACTCGGGCGGCCGGACCGCCCGAATCCCACACCCCAGGTCCCTCCCGCCCCGCAGCCTCCCCCTCCCTTCCCGCCCCTCCCCTCCTCCGCAGTAGCCAATGAGCGGCCGCCGGTCCCAGCTCCCGGCGGCGTCCGGCGCGGGGACCGGCGGCCGCTCATTGGCTACTGCGGAGGAGGGGAGGGGCGGGAAGGGAGGGGGAGGCTGCAGGGAGGGAGGGAGCTGGGCCTTGAGAATGGGGGAGGCAGGGAGGGAGAGAGAATAGAAACAGAGGCAGAGAGCCCGAGAGGGGCAGGGGCGCACAGAGAGGCAGAGAGACGGGGCCGAGGGTCCGGGACACACGGAGACCTCGAGGCTGAGAGATGCTGAGACTCGCAGGTCTGGGGACCAGGGGAGACACAGAGACGGCCTAGAAGAGACAGAGAGAGAGAGAGAGAGAGAGGAAAGGAGAGACAGGGATCAGCTCTAAGACCCCCTCTGCCCTCAGGCTCAGAGATTCCGGGGCTCTGGAAGTGGAGAGGCCAGAGACACAGAGACAGAAAGAGACAGGAAGACGCTCAGAGGCCCTGGGCTGAGAGATGCTGAGACCCAGAGACCTTGAGCTAGGGAAAGAGGCAGAGAGAGAGAGAGAGAGAGAGAGAGAGAGAGAGAGAGAGAGAGACAGGGGGGAGAGAGAGAGAGACCCTGAGAAGGAGAGAGCGCGGGGGCAATCCTGGGGCTCCCCTGAGGAGGACTGGGGCTCTGGCCAGGCCTGGGGCGGAGCCTGGGGTCTGGGCGGCTGCAGGAGGCGGGAGGGGGCGTCCCGGGCCGGGGTCCCCAGAGCAGCAGGCGGGCGCAGAGCGGAGCCGGGTCCTGCAGCCGCCGCGGAGCCGGGAGCCGGGCCAGCCCCCCCCCCCCCCCCCCCCGCCGTGATGTCAGCGGGGCCACTCTTAAAGGGGCAGGCCGCCCGCCGAGGGTCGGAGCGGGGCTGGGGGCCGCGGGCAGAGCATGGGGGTACCCCCACGGTGCTGGGGGAGCCAAGGGGGTCCCCAGCATCCAACTGAACCGAGTCCCCGGAACCCAAGAGCCTGCAGAGACGAGGAGACGCCGGGGCTTCCCGAGGGAGCCTGCGAAGCTCTGGGGCTCAGTCCCCTCCAAACACACAGACACAGGCACACCATTCAACCGGCCTGCCCCGGGTCTGGGACTACATTTTCCATCAGCCCCGGCGGAGAGGGGCCGCACTTGGGGGAAGGGGCCGCCGCGGTGTCTGCTGGGAACTGTAGTCCGCTGGGACTTCTTTCCACCGCCCCCCCCCCCCCCCCCCCCTTCTCCGCAAGTGGGTCAAGGCAAAGAGGCCCGGAGGGCGCGTCCGCCTGTCTTCGGCCTCCGTGGCTGAGTCTTAAGCTCACGGGTGCTGGGTGTCTGCCTGCTCTGTCGTGGGGTCTCCCAGTGATCAAGTCTCCAGACCCCTCAACGGGAGGCTGGCCTGTCATCTCCCCGCTCAGGACTGCTTCCCCCCACCCCCACCCCCGTCCCCCGCCCCGCGCCAGACTCTGGGTTTTTCAGTGTGTCTGTGAGCGTATGTGTTGCTCTGGGTGAGTATGTGAATGTTTGCGTCTGTGCTGGGGCGGGGGGCGGGCTCCACCGGGCATCCCCAGTGGTCTGCGTCTCGCGCCCCCCAACCCCCACCCCCGGTCGCTGCTCTTTCCCTCTCCCGCTGTGGGTCTGTTCTGCCCACTTTATGGGTCTCTCTGCTTTCCGTCTCTCTGCCGCCCCACCCCCAGCCTGTATATGTGCGTGAGCGCGCGCGCGCGTTTCCGTGTACGTTGTCCCACCTCCACACCCCGCCCCCCTTCCTTCTTCAAGCTTTAGAAGAAAACATCCCAACACCCAGCATCAGCATCCCAAATTTATTCTCCAGCAGCTGTGGCCGGGCGAGAGAGCCAAAGAAGAGGGCAGTGGGCAGGGGGAGGAGGACAGAGCCCCCCCCCCCCCCCGGAGTGGCAGGCACGGGAAGAGGGGGGAGGGGAAGAGGGAGGGGAGGTGGAGGAGGTTCCGAGCAGGACTGGAGCCATGCACCTGGCAGGCGAGCAGTGACGGGTTCGGGGTAGGGGCGTCTAGAACAAAAGCTGATTGAGAACAGCTGGGGGTGGGGATCCTTCATCCATCCCAGGAATCCCTAGAGTGTGGACGAGGCGCACGGGAGCGTGGGGGCACAGCCTCCCACTCACTCCAGAATGGGGTGGACGTCGTTGGTGGGGGGAGTAGGGGGCAGGTCAGAGGTGAAGGGTTGTTCTAGAATCCAAGTCTAGAACAGCCCACCCCATGAGACTATTTCCCAGAAAGAAAGGAGAAGAAAAAAAAAAAAAAAAAAAAAGGAGAGACAGAGATTCTACCAACACGGAGTCTAGAACCCCACGGAGTTGGGACCGTGGTGAAGGTTCTGGTAGCGCAGAGTCCAGAACACCAAGGTGGGTGAGAATCCCGGGCTCAGCACAGCAGAGTCTAGAACACAGTGAGGCTCCAGAGACTGTATGGAGCTTAGAATGCCAGGAACGCTTGGGAGGGGCATCTAGCACCCACGGGGCAGAGGCCAGAATGCTGGGGAGCAAGATCTAAATCGGAAAGGGGGTGGAGGTGGGGGTTGGCGGGGAGGTGGAAGACTGGTGCGGGGAGGGAGCAATGGGGACACCTAGTGGTGGCAGGTGAGATTACATGACTGGCACCGGCGGCGGGCTGACGGGGCTGCGGGCGTCGGGGTGCACGAAATCCGGGTTCACGTAGGTGAAGCCTTGGAAATCGGCCTGGTCGATGCTGGCCAGAACCAGGCGGTCTGGGGGGGTCAGCGCTGGCGCCGCCCGTGTAAAGAACTTGTCGAAGTTCTCGCCGCTGCGTCCACACTGTGGGGAGCACGGGGAGGGAAAGATGAGAAATTCCGTCTGCTCCTTGGTGTCCCTCTGTGTCCCCTGTGACCATGTCCTGTCTCCTCTGGAATCAGCGCATCCTCCGTGGACTCTGCATCTCCCGTTGGGGCGTCTCCTCAGAGGGAGCCCCACCCCACCTCTACATATGGGAATGGGAGCTCCTGGGTCCCCCATCCCCAGGGACCAGGGTTCCCACAAGGTGGCTAACCGGACGGGGTCTGAACGGAGGCGCGATCTCCAGTCGTTCCAGCCGCTCCCAGTCCATCCAGCGGAAAAAGCCATGAGCACGGATGGCGGGCTCCCCGTCCGGCCCTGAGCCCAGGCGTTTCGCTGGGTGCTTAGTTAGGAACTGTGGAAAACACAGAGACAGACAGACAGACAGGGTCCCGGACAGGGAGGCACAGGGAACGAGAAAGGCAGAAAAGCAAAAACAGCAGAACAGAGACACAGCATAGAAAGAGGAGGGAGAGATAGAGATCCAGGGGGAGTGCAGAGACCCAGAGAAGGTGGGAGATAAAGCAGATGGGGGGGGGCAGATATGCGGAAAGAGAGAAGGGTGGAGATCCACGAGACAAAACCCCAGAGAGGATAAAGACACAATATGAAGGCAGAGACTCAGAGAGGAGGAGAGTTCCAGAGAGAGAAGGACCCAGTGTGTGTGTGTGTGTGTGTGTGTGTGTGTGTGTGTGTGTGTGTGTG